CTGAGCCCCAGGCGCTGCCCTTTTATGCATTTTCATACTACAGGATAGAAGGCACACCTCTGATCCCTGTTCATGCTCGACCTCAGGGGTGGCAGGTGTGGAAGGGAGGAAGAGGGAAACACCAGGCAGAAGGGAAGCAGAGGCTGCTGGTGATGGGGCTGCCCTGGCTGCCCTGTTAGCTCTGGTGCCCCTGAGACCCAGGGAAGAATGGCTCACAGAGGAGGGGTTTGGGTAGAATCTCATGAAAGCCCTCAGGGATCATCTCTAGCCTCTTCATAGTAAAACAAGGGGAAAGCGAGGCCCAAAGCTGGGACCAGGATGCTCTCTAGGACCCCCCCAAGGCCTAAGTGGCCAGCGCTTGGGTTGAAGGGGATAGGCACTTTACCGACCCACCCCCAGTGCTCCCATGAGGCCCTTCTCTTCCCAGCTGTGGCCACTGCAAGCAGAATGAACCGTGTTCTCCAGACACAGGCAACTGTGTATCCTGTGAGCCAGGCTGGAATGGGACGCAGTGCCACCAGCCCTGCCCACCTGGCACCTTTGGCGAAAGCTGCAAGCAGCAGTGCCCCCACTGCCGGCTGGGGGAGGCCTGTCAGCCAGACACTGGGCACTGTCAACGCTGTGACCCCGGCTGGCTGGGGCCCAGGTGAGAGGGTCACCCTGATCAAGGTGGAGTGCACTTTCCCTCAGGATCCTTACTTCAGGTGGGCCACCCCTCCAACAGCCTTATGGGGCTGCCTCTTGGCAAAGGCTGAAGGGCCAAGGTGGGTGCTGAGGGGCCTTGGGCAGGGTTCTCATTGGCTCCTCAACACTCATGCCTCCTGCCCTCTTCCCTGCAGGGACTCTATAGCTTGTCTCCTACTGGGTTTGGCCTCAGGTTCAAGGGCCTGTTTTCACTTGAGCTTCACAGAGGAGCACCCAGTGGGGCACATAGACAGGGTGTCCACTGTGTGGCCAGGCCTGCCCTGTCCTCCCACTCCCTGAACCTTGTCTCACCGCAGGTGTGAAGACCCCTGCCCCACTGGGACCTTTGGAGAGGGCTGCAGCTTTCCCTGCCCCACATGTGTTCAGGGGGCCTGTGATGCTGTGACAGGGGAATGTGTCTGCAGTGCTGGCTACTGGGGGCCCAGGTAAGGATTGGGCCCCTGGGGGCAGGAGAGTAATGCGGCCTAGGCCAGGCCTTTATGCAATCTGTGTACTAAACTTCCCTTCCTGGGCCTCTCTGCCTCCCAGATACTACTCAGTATCCTCATAACCAAGAAGTTATTCCTCCTGTAGTGGGGTGTTCCCCAGGAAAGTCAGATGATGCATAATATAAAAGGAAATGCTCCCCAACTAAGTGGAGAGCTTATTTGGGGGCAGGGCTCCAAACCTCACTGTGATTTCTCTAAGGCGGTATTTTTCAACCTTTTTTTTTTATCTCAAAACACACTTGAACCAGTAGTTAAACTTCCATGGCACACTAAAATTATATTGATCAAAAAAGAGTAAAAAAAGAATATACTTACTGTGCTTTGAACTTCTTTGTCTGAGACAGAGTCTCACTTTGTTGCCTTTGGTAGAGTGCTGTGGCATCATAGCTCACAGCAAACTCAAACTCTTGGGCACAAGCGATTCTCTTGCCTCAGCCCCACAAGTAGCTGGGACTACAGAGGCCTACTACAAAACCTTACTATTGTTTTTTTTTAGAGACAGGGGTCTTGCTTTTGCTCAGGTTAAACTCAAACCCCTGAGCTGAAGCAGTTCCACCTTGGCCTCCCAGAGTGCTAGAATTATAGGCATGAGCCACTTCGCCCAGCCTGCACTTGTTTTGAAAATCATTTACTTAATGATCTTTAAAATTTTTCGTGGCATACTC